CGCCGGGGCCGGGGCGGCCGCGGGGCGCCCGGGACCCCCGGCAGCTTCTCCTCGCAGATTAATGAGTCGCGGAGGATTGTTCATGGGTTAATAGGTATGATAATTGATATTTTTCATTCCACCCCGGCGGTGTTTGTTCGCTGACAGATTTGCTTTGTTTCGAGAGTACATATTTCGGTAGGAATATGGGTTTCTTGTAGCCCAGTGAAGGGTAAATGTGACTGAACACTCTCATTTAATTAGAGGTTTCCTAAAGGTGACCAACAGCAGCCAAAGCTGATAGTTTCCATTCGCTTCAGCCTATTTAAAAATTTCCATAGTGGCCGCTGGAGTCCTGTCGCTTTCCTCTGCACACACTGGCTTTTCCCACTGGCCTGTTTAGTCTTAGTGTGTCCCTGCCCCAAGGTAAATGCAAGGGGAAAGCGAGTTCTCCGCTGTCCTTGCCATCCCAACCGGAATAGCTGACAGGAGCCTGTTAGATGGGCACCTCAAGCATTGGCAATGATATCGATGATGGGAGGACTGGCAACCTGTGCAGGCTGGCTGATGTCGGTTGACGTAGCTCATGGTGCAGGGAACACCCTCCAGAAGGGCTTCGCATTTTGGTGGCACAGAACTAGGCCTAGATCTSACATCACACCAGCACCACTGGAATTTCAGGCTCCTTCATTTGGTTTTTCCATAGGCCGTCCCCAAATTCCTACCTCAACGGGATGCAACATGCAGCACCTCCCAGGCCAGACTCTCTGGCAGGTCTGTGCATAGGGTCTTCACTGGTAGTGACCACGAAATTATGGCCAATAGATGGAGAACATAATGTCACTCAAAGGTTGTGCTCGGGCCTAGACAACAACTTGGATTGCCTCCCTTGTTGCAAAACGTGGTGTGCACAGTAGCCACTGTGCCATGATAAGCGGAGGAATCTATGTTGCTACCTAATTAAAACGAGAGCAAAACTGATTATTCGCTACAGGAAAATGAAACCAGCACATGCAATTAATTTCCAGCAAATAAATTACACATCAGGATACTGCAAAGTTAAAACATTTATCATTGCAGCCTGCCATTTCTCAGGAAAGCCAGGTAGCTTTGCCAGTGTGGCTCTCTGCAACATATTTAAGGCTTYTCAGAATTTCATGTGTCTAATGGGGTCATTAGAGGAATAATAATGGAAAGAGCAATTTAGGGACTTCCTGAGCATGAGACAGGCTGGCTAGAGGCTGAGTCTCTGTGCCACCCTCCAGCATGGCTTTCCATCCCCCTGCTTTTTATCGCCCTCATCTCATTTTCTTGATGTCACCAACATTTTCAAAATGGTTCCATCAATAACAAAATTGGAAACAAATATTTATTGTTGTCATCCTTTGCTTGTGTAAAGCATCCTTCATCCTCCCCTCATGCCCATACCTGGCTTTTCAGAAAGGATGTGCTCAGGATTCAGGAGTTCTTTGTATTTTACTCTGGGTTTTAATGTATGGGCTGCGTKCCCAGAGAGTTGAATGGCTGATAAATGTGACAAAATAAATAAAACAAATAATAAATCGGAGGCGCTCCAGATGCTTCCCAGAGGTGAGTGGGTCTACTACTCCTCTTGCAGTGAATGGCAGAGCTGCCAATGCTTTCACACTTGGATGCTGCATTCAGGTGCCTTCATGAGGATCAAGGTGCCTTGCTTGAAATGCTCCTGTTGGAAAGAGCTGGCCCAAGTCACTTCAATAAGATCCTACGGAGAGCAGGAAGGTCGTTGGGGTGGCACAGGAAGCAACATGGAGCARGTGATGTGCAACACGGTCTCTGCCTGCAGGAGAAGCTTCTGCTCACTGACGGTTATGATCAGTYCTAGGAAATAAACATATCGGAGGCATCAGCCTTGGGCACAGATTACTCCTGCTGCCCTTGGGTATGCAAGAACTGAGGAAAGACCATGGAGCCTCAACTGGGAGTGAGGAAATGCTTCCTCTTGATTCTGCCCAGAGAAGCACAATYCAACCCAAGGCTTTGCAAAACTTCAGCTGTTGGTGCCATGTGACAGATCTCCCYCCTCATGAGAACGCTCTTGTGCTTTCCTTCCTCCTCTTCAAATCAGGCCAAGATTCTGGCATGACAATCTCCCTAACCCCCTTAATTATTGTTAATAGCAGTAATAGCAATAATAATCCTTATTAGCAGCGTAGCATATCTCATCATCTAAGCTGCGTACAGGCAGTGAGCTTGGGAARGGGCCACATACCCGTCCAGGCTGAGCCTCAGCACCAAGTCTGTCACCATCCAAACCATGGGCTCTCAAGGCCATTGTAAGAGGGGACCTTCATGGAGATCTGATGCCCTCCAGAACGGGAGCGCTCCTGCCCAGSCATCTCAGTGCAGAACTGTGTGCACCTTTGTTGTGGAGCCGGTGACAGGATGGATTGGCTGCAGGTCTGTCCCACAGCAGATGCCCAAGCTCTGATGTTCTTGAGCAGAGCTTGGGTCCACCCACCCTTAWCTACTACCTCAACAGGCAGGAACGGAGTGTCACTGTTAACATGCCTCCTCTCCTCTGTTCTTCACCTCTTTGTACAAGCCCTCATTCATTGCAGAGGGGGCAGAAGGAATAAAGAGGGTGGCTACAGAGGCAATGATACTTGATCTACCTATCCACTTGGGAAAAGGAATCATTAAAAAAAATCCTTTCATGTCACGCCAGAGATTGAGAAAATGGCAGGGATGGAGAGAAGACAAATGCAAGCAGGAAAACTTCTGTGTACATCAGTCTAACGGCTTGCACACAGCATATCAGTCATAGTGCTTGAGCACGTGAGAGAGAGAAGATATAAATGCTTATGTGGACAGCCAGGATCAGACAGGAGGAAGGCTGCTAGAGAAACAACCCTTTGTTTTCCATCGCTCAGGAAGTAAACACTTAACCTAAGCCCATTTTCATGCCCACCTACGTGGTCAAAATCTGCATTGTGTTTTCAGTCCCTCTCAGGGCTCCTTAATGGTGCAGAGGAGCTTTGATCGCCATGGCGTGGGCCCCTTCCCTCTGGCAAACCACATTTAAATCCAATCCATTGAAGTTCCTACTGCTCTCTCAGCAACTGGGAGCTACTCATCAGCTGAGTACCCCTCTGATTGCTTGTCACAGCCAGACTTCCCAGTGCTTTTTCCTGGACGGATATACTAAATAAATCTCAAGTGATATGATTACCATAACTCAGCTGACGAACCTTGTGGGCAGACACAGCCGGGGGCTGGAGGTGGGTCTGTCACATTTTCTGCTGTCTTTTTTCTTCCCTTCTGGGCAGTTGCAAATGTGCCAATTCAAAGGATGCTACTGCTGGAAAGAGGGACTGAGCAGGGGGTGGTTATACATCCTCAGAGGATCTAGAAGCAATGCATTGGCATGACTTCCTCAGAAAAGGCCACAAATAATTTTTGGAGCACTGTGCAGTGCTGCCTTGGGCTGCAGCAGAAAGCAAGGTACTTGGCTATCAGAGAGTCCCCGTGCTCTTGCCCTTCTCCCCCAAGAGATCAAACTGCCATTTGTTCTGCTCCTGTGAGGATCATAGTATCTGTCTGGGCTGATGGAGAGCAACTTTTCTACGTCAACCACAGCTTGCTAGCTGCTGAAGAAAGAGAAAGAATTGTTCTTTTTTTAAAAAATAATGTGCCTTGTCTCTCAGGTGCAATAAGAGCCCAAACAGAGATGTACAATTTCTCTGCAGGCAGGGTAGGTGCCTTTTCTCCTTTAGGATTTCAAATGCAAACCTGCAAAACAAAAGCAATTTTTCTCTTCAGGACTGGAGAACCACGAGGATAGGTTGAATTTTCATTTTATCTAGTCCCATCCTAAATCCTGCCACAGGAATTTCTTATCCCATTGGGTGACTAGCCAAAATTGTGACTGGAATAGAGTAGATGCAATGGATGATGTATTTCAAGATAGTTCCAGAAGGCATTTGGCCAAATGC